CTGCTGTATTTAATAAAACACTTTATGGTTAGTGTTAGTAAGTAAGATAAAAATTATTTGCTATGCACATCTGTTGTGTGAGTGTATGTAACTAATTATGTCAAATGTTTTGCTGGATGTAATGAAAATACTAGTAGAACAGAAAGTGTTGTGTTTAAATTTATCACTTCACACATTTTTCAGTTGACTTCATTCAGTAATTACAATGTATTTTATAAAAGAAGAAATATGTTTTAATTGGATGAACGTGTTAAATTGTTTGTAGATTACTCTGTTTATTTCAGTATTTGTAATCACCTACATAATGGTGACAACATTTACAAACACTGATTTTACATCTCAGTGTAAGTTTATTTTGGATCTTGTAGGGACGATGAGGTATCATTGATTAAGAAAAGGACACCAAAGAAACATCACCAAGAGAGGTGAGATAGAAAATAAAGTATTAAATTGTACTAAATAATTTTGTAGCAACTTGTTAAAATTGAAATTTCTATAGTTTATTTCTTGATTAGTCATTCAATTGAAAGATTTATTTTGATCAGATCATTTAAGAGTTTTGAAGTGAAGTATAAAGATTGTTTATTTTTATTTCTAAGCCTGTTAATATTATTTAATCAATCAAAAGTTTATATGAAATATCTTTGTTATTCCATCTCTTGCTGAGATTGATTTTGGCTTCTGATATATGTTGTTTTCAAAATATGTGTTTTCTACATCAATGGGGGCAAATTGGCATCCAGTTCTCTAGCAGCTTAGTGTATTCTGTTTTCAGGAGCTAGTAATAGCATGCACTATTCTGTTGCTTTTATTGTGGATTAACACCATTTTTGTTTTTAACTTTCACTGAAATATTTGTTTCAAGTTTACCAGTTTACTGAAAATGAATTTTTATACAATCAGTTGAAACAGTATTTATTAGAACTGTAAATTTGTTAATTTAATGAGTGAGTGATTCCTCTTTTATCATATTTTAAGAGAACATCAGGCAGAATATTTTTAGTAGTTTACTATAATGTAATGCATCTTGTTATTTTGAATTGTTTAGCTTTGTTAACTTTTATAGTTAATCTCCATTGGTTTTCAAACTGCCTGCTTAAGTATTGTAAACCACATTTGACATAAATTTGTATTCTAGGTGATATATTATTTAGAAAGTTGATCTTTTTCTCTCTCTCTCTCTCTTCTTTTTTTTTACAACCAGAAGTTATATTGGAATTTTTTATCTAATGATTTTACTTCTGTAAAATTTACATACTAATCATTATAGCCAATAACACAAAACAAAACTTTTATTGTGAGAAACAGTTAGTGGATTTAAATGAATCTTTAAAACAATGTAGTGAAATATTCATAAGAGTTGTGTTAAAGGATTAGAAAATTTTTGATGTGTAGAATGTACGAATGTGTATCATGTAGTTTAAGTGTATTTTTCTGCAAATGAGATAAACCTGTATTTGTTAGATCCTCTTATTTTACAAAACAATGATGTCAAATTACCTTTTTTTCAATGAAAAATATTCCATAATTTAGAAAGAAATGTATTTTAAGAAAATGTAAAGGATTTGTAATGATACATTACATTTTTTTTGCAAAAAAAATTAAAACTACAGAAAAGATGCTGTTTTGTTTCTTTTCATTTTGTTTTTCAGTTTTAAGATTAACAATGAATAGATAGATGGTATATTGTTTAAAAGCTAAACATTCTGCACGTTTTTTTATGCATGATGTCAGTTCTTGCTTGATAGTACCACATGATAACTCTGTCTTTCAATATAGTACTAATTAATATAGTAACTTTAATGAAATAAATTTATTTATTTTTATACAATTGTGAATGAAGAGGCTAACATTCTGGGTAAACTTAGTTTTTATTTTTGAGAGTAAAGTTTTCTGGACTTTCATATTAATATTTCTATTTTTGCATTACAGTATGTTATAATGAAGACTTGAGTTGTATTTTTTAAGTGAGAGAATTTTTTTTGCATTACAGTGTATTAAAATCAAGATCTTTGAGTTTTTATTTTTTAAGTGAGAGAATTTTTTTTTGCATTACATTATATTAAAATGGAGATCTTTGAGTTTTTATTTTTGAAGTGAGAGAATTTTTTTTTTTGCATTACAGTGTATTAAAATTGAGAAAGATTTTTTAAAGTTAGAGAGATATTTTAGGACTGTAGCTTCCTGGTAAAGAGTGATTCTTGAAGATTCCTTATTTTTGTTGAACATAAGATTTAAAATATAAAAGTTGGTTTTCAAACTTAAACTATTGTCTAATACTTCCCAACTTAATATTAAACCTAAAATTGTTTATAATACAAAAAAAGTTTGAATTTTATTTTATTTTAGAACTGAAGCATTAGTGCTATTGAAATTAATGTTGTTTTATCTGATTTACAGAACATAAATGTTTGCATTCATATAATGATTAACTGAAATATTGCAAGGTAGAATGTTTTAGAAATCTGTGTTTCTAGCAGTTCTTGTCTTAGTTCTTTCTGATTTGACTTGATAAAAATACTTTTCTGTTTTTTTGTTCTCAAACAGTCAAAATTAGGTAATATGTAACGAATTAACTTTTGTAAGTTAGAGATTGTTTTAACGAGTTTTTTATTTTTAACCTGTTGATTGGATTTCATAAAAATAACTTAAACAATTTTATGTTGATATTGACCGAGCTGGATCACTGTATAAAAATATCTTGAATTAAGACTAATTTTGATAATTGTTTTTAGACTAAATACTGTAAAGGAAGTCATTTGTGTATTTATTTTGTAAAAGCAGAGGATTGAGGTTGTGTATGGTAAATAGTTTTTAAAGCTAGATTGATTATATGTTAACTGGTGTTGATTTGATTCAAAATGTTTGTTCAGTGCTTACAGTTTAAAATATTTGTAAATGAGCTCAATTCCTCAAAGAAAGAGTAAGTTACACTGCTTTATTCAGTAGCTGGAAGTAATGATGTTTTATTTTTCTTGTTTTAAGACAGTACATGGCTTAGAAATGAAGGTAATGTTATATGTTTCTCTAATCTGGGCATGGACATTGCATATTTATTGTTTATTCTTACATTAGAAATGCTTCAGTATTTCATAATAATCAAAACAAGTGCAATTAACCAACTACAGTACTTAAGTCTATAAACTGTGCTACAGTTAATTCAGTGTAGATTTGAATACCAGTTAAAGTTACAATCATTAAGCTACTGTACTGCTATTAACTTTTATGTGATTATACACATGCAAATAATGTAATGAAAATTTAAGTATTATTAAAATGACACTTTAAAGGAAACTGAAACCTGATTCTGTATGTGGGGGGGGGGGTAGCTTTACAAAAAAAAAGTCAATAATCTTTATAAAAAGTTCTTTATTATTGTATTTAAGTTTTGAAATCCCATACTAAGATAATTCTTTATGCCTTTAAAAGTCTGCATGTTTTCTTTTTCCCTTTTTTTTGTGGTCTATCATAAAATTACACATTATTTAGAAAAATCAAGTTAAAATATACATATATATTCTGAGTGTGTGAAATGGGATTTTATCAATTAGTTAAAGGAAGAAAAGTTAATCTAATCATTACACTTCTTCTTTTAACCCTTTAGGCATGCCCATCGCCGTATGGCAACCACATAATGCAGTTTGAATATTATACTAGAAAGGCAAATCAAGTGCACAAAAAAAGCCTAATCTGCACAAATGATTATCTCAGCTATCAATTTGTATCTAACATGGTATATGCTGCTTTTAAAAAAAAATTGGTAATATTTTGAGCTGAGTATTGTTTAATTTTTATGGGAAAATGCACCCAAAATGGCACCAAATCACTCCAGTGTTTTCATTCTTGAAGAGACAATTGAACCTTTACAAGCTAACGATGATTCTAGTTCTGAACCTGATTATCAGATGATGATTTTGAGCATAATATGATTGATGTTATAGTAGTTGTGCCAAAGCTGAGCCCATGGGGGGCAATTGATGATGGTGACAATGATTGCAAAGTTACCATCTTTAAAACGACCAAATTTCAAAGTATAATTCAAGGGAGATCTTGTGGACCTATTGCAGGATGTAATAACAATATACCTGTTGCCATTGCTAGTACAAGTGGGGTGTACAACTACACATACATGTCCTCCCAGGGCTAGGCTGGTTGGGCACAACAACCTGCACGTTAACATTGTCGACTTATTCGTGGAGCTAGGCATGGGCTTGGTGATGCAAATAGTGATTGATGGAAATTAGTTGTAGGTGATGAACATTTTCAACCTTGATGATAGAAATATAGGGTACAGGGGTAACGAGACTCTAAAATGCTGCAGACCCTGTCAATTTTTTGTAGTTATTCCTGGATGATGCTTTGTTTGATAATATTGTTAGAGAAACAAACTGTTATGCTAATCAGTCTTTACAAAGGGGAGCTGAAGATTTGAAACCATGCTCACAATTTCATAAATGGGTACCCGTGAGCCATCAAGAGGTGAAATCATTCCTTGCTTTGCACCTTGTAATGAGCTTAGTCAATAAACCCGAAATAGAGGACTACTGGGACACATTTTGGCTAACTTGACTTCTTTGGTTTCTACCGTGTCCTTATTAGCAATAGATTTGAATTAATCTAGAGCATCCATTACTCTGCAAACAATAATGATCATTGCCAAAGATGTGTCTTGTTATGATGGGTTATTCAAGGTGCATCCAGAGATTGACATGATAATTCCCAAATTCACACAACTGTTTGGTCCAAAAAAGGAATTGGCTTTGGAAGAAATGACAATTGCATTCAAAGGACGAAATGTTTTGAAACGGAACAACCCTAAGGAACCACATAAATGGGGATTCAATGCTTTTGCATTATCTGAGTCAAAAAGTGGATGTGTTCTTGAATGGTCAAATCAGAAGAAATATGAATAAACTGTAAATATGGTGGCCATATTGGAAGTGTGACATTATCAGATATGCAGGTTATTTCAAATTATTTGTATCTTCAGATTCTACTGAACAATTTTATTCCATATGTGTCTTGGACTATTTCAAATGGTTTTAGAGGTATACTTGATCTAATTAGACATGTATATAAACCTGAATATACAAAAAAGTACATACCTAAAGGGTTAATAGGTTTTGAATATTATTTTGTTTCACAGTTTATTACCTGTTTTATCAAAATTATGTTATATTTGTCCAGTTATTTATTAAGATGACCCTTGGCAATGATATGCAGTTTGCATTACAACACAAATTAGATATTAGCCCTTATAAGAATTGTATTAATTATTGCCAAGTGTATTTATATTCAGCTTAAGTTTATCATATTCACATTTTAAGGATTTTTGTATGTGGTGTGAGGAATTGTTTTTCTTTTTTATTAGGCCAGTTTCTGCAGCATCAAAGAATAAACGAAAAACTTCTGATAAAAGAAAGAAAAGGTACGTATTGTCACCTTTTATTTTCTACTTTTATAACGCTATTCCTATGGGTAACTTCTACTGCAATCCATGACTTAATTTTGGATGATTTTAATAAGCATAATGATAATCAAAATAGTTATTCTGATATGAAATTTCATGTTGTCTGTTAAGTAGCTGAATTATAAAATTAAGTAACCAGCCAAATTACTAGATTACTTAAACTACAAACACTGTTTTGAAACATCCATGAAAACAACTTGAAGCATTCTAAACAGTGGATGACCCTAGCCAGCACGAGTGTAGTGGAAAACATGAATGTAGCAATTAACTTTGTAGGACTCTTAGATTTTATGAATTGTACTGATTTTTCTTTTTTAATGGCTTTCATCAGAAACTTTATGCAAATTTTATTATTGTTTTTGGTGAGTGTTATATATCAAGAATTCTGTAATCTTGAGATAAATTTCTAAAACTTACCAGATGTTGTAACTTGTAAATAATACAGGTCATATATGTGTTTGTTGATTGTTTGGGTTCTAATGTATTATATTTTTTACTCTGAAGAGCATCTGTCTGAAGATGTAAAGCTGGTAAGAAATAAATAAATTTTGGGGGTTTTAGTTTTTTTTGTATTGGAAATAATTATAAAAATGGTGAAGAAAAAGGGTATAATAGGCAAATAATACAGGAATGCCACCCCTTTATTGCCTGGAAATAAACTGTAATGGGGTTGCTTGTTGATAGTAGAGGTTTAACTTTTCACTCATAAGTTAGGTGAATTGGAAATGGCTGCAGATTGAATAATATTTGTGTTACGCAAAGATGAAGTTCACTTATTTTTTTCAAATTCAGTGTAAACAGTAAGAAAACTGCCAAATAACTTCAATATCTTCAATCAAAGCATAACTTCTTGCCACAGTCTAATACAAGGGCAAGCTTTTACAACAGCATTTAACAGCAGTCAATACTAATTAGCTTAGCGCTATATAGTTTCAGACTCAAATTGTCATTATAACTAATTGACGATGTTATTCATGTTATGATTCCTTAACATTTGTCAGGTTTTTATGTATGGGCAGGGTTGTTTACTGTAGGTGTCTGTGACTTGTATGCATTACATTTCAACAATACACAAACAGCACACAGTCCACTTGTTTTAAAATAATATATTAAAACAAGTCAAGTGTAGATACAAATATTTGTTACACTGTTGGATACCACAGTTGTAACCAGAACTTTAAATAGTTCTCTCTTTTTTTCTTTTCTTTTTTGTCAAAATCCACACAGGCTGGTTCAGTTACTTTAGAACACAATTGACCAGACAAATCATTCTTCTCTATTCTGTTAATACAATACAGTCTGTGATAATATAATTTTAAAAGACATCACTATACACACTTTTATGCCTAACAATGCAGTCTAGATCTCTTTAACTAACTATATTTTGGATGTGTGTATATATATATATATATAGCCTTACAGAGGCCTAGAATGTTCCGCATACTATGAGATAATATGGTGCAATAATATTCAATTAAAACAATGAGAAGAACATAGAAGGTTCTAGTAACATGGGGCAATAATACAAGTGCCAGTTCACAAAAATTAAACTACAGAACATGAGATTCGTAACACAGTTACATAAACAAACCTGCAATAAACTGTTGTTTCTAAAAACTGAATTCAACACTCATGCTATGCTTAAACAGAAAGAGTCGTGTATATCTATCAACATTTATCGGCCATACTAAAATGAAGTTATAGATTTTATAGATCCCCCCCCCCCCCCATCAAAGTTTATATTACTTGTGTGTATAAAAGTACAGGCACTAATATTATGCCCAGTAGTAGCAGTGACATCTACTCATGGCTCCCAAGACAGAAATATTAAAGTTTTCATTAATCAAAGATTAGTTCATGTAAAAAATTATGTTTTAGTACAAGCTGTATCCAAAGAGTGTACATAAAAATGGCACTCTTAATAATAAAAGAGTTCAGTGTAGAAAACCAAAACTATTCAAAAGTGATGTTAAGTATTCTCTGGTTATGTTCTTTATGAGATAGATGACAGTTCTTTCCAATAACCTTGCTTTAAATGCTGGTGTGAATGTTATCTTGAAAACAGTAAGATACACATTAGCGTGAAGCAGCCTTAATAAATGTACAGCTGTGAAAATCACTGATGAGTAGAGATGATATAACCAGAAGATTGAAGTGGGCATCCGACTATAAACAATGGATTGAGCAAAGATGGAGACGTGATCTTTATAGTTGAATCCAAGTTAGAATTGTTCAGAAACAATCAACTACAATTTGTTCAATAGTGGAGGCCTCCATTCTCATCATATACTGTGATGTCATAAAAGGATGGAAACAACTACTAGTGCAGAACAAACTTGAAAATAGCTACAGGCAAAGCTTAAATACCATTGGACAGAGAAGATTATAAGTTAATGAATTAAATCTAAAGTGAATGAAGTGGTGAAGAAGTAATTCATGGTTTTGTAAGAAAGTGATTAGATATAGTTCCTGCAGAGAAGAACAGTGGCATTTAATCTGATGTTTAGAAGACTTATAAATAGACCTGAGACTTTTTTTTTTAGTTTATTTAGCTATTATTACCATTCCTGAACATATTATTGTGTTAAATTGCATTGGTTTGAAAGTTCTTACAATTTTTTTCTCTAATAAGATATCAGGAAAGCCTTATTAGGTTTGAAGAGCACAGTAGTGATGGTAAGATATTCTGGTGGCTAAAATCCTTATTTACTGAAAATTATAGTTGATTTTATGATATTCAAACAATGCACATAAATAAAAGAACTTAGAGTTTATTGACAATAAAATATATTTATGACCAAAAATATTGTTAGCAAAAGTTTTAGTGTGTGTGCTCATTGTAAAAGTATTGTTACTTAGCCTGTAAGTTTCTTCACAATACAAATGAAATAACAAAAAAGATATATATATATATATGTGTGTGTGTGTGTGTGTGTCTGTGTGTGTGCATGCTTGTTATTAAAAGGAATAAGTGTGAACATTTTCTTTTCTCAGCAGCAAGGATTATGAGAAGAAGAAGAAGCATCATCGGTCTTCATCTTCAGAGTCCAGTAGTTCTTCAGCATCTGAATCATCAAGTGATAGCTCATATAGCAGTAGCAGTCAGTTTAGTTCTGAAAGCTCAGACCCATCAGACAGTAGTAGGTTAGTACATATTGGCCAACATATTTGTGTTAAGACTGTTTTGTGACTCATATGGTTAGTAATTAGTCCAAAACAATTTTTTAAGCAGAGATTTTAGTGTTTGAAAAGAATTTTGTGAATTTCCATGTTGTGTATTACAAAAATTTTAGTTTATTATGTTTTTTTTATGTTTATTTAGTTTTAGATTATGTATGAATTGAAGTTTCATTTATTCAGAAATCAGTGTTTGTGAGAACAGAGGTAATTTTTTGATAGTTTTAAAGTTAAATATATGTTGTTTGGAGAATAATTCCTCAATTATTATGCCAATGGCTTATTTTTCTGTGTATTATTGTATGATTAATCAAACTTGTTAGTTTCTAGAACATTACCATTAGCTGTTAAGCAGGTGGAGCTACATAAGCTCACAGTTATTATTATTATAAAACAAACACAGTAAACAAAATGAGACTTTCATGGAGGCCAAACTTGAACAGTATAAACAGTAATTTTAGTGAACAAGTAATTTCATATTTCTTGTAATGATTGATTTATTCTCTATGAATAACGTACCTCACATAAAGAAGGTCGCCAGCCTTTATGGTTTAAGACATGACATCTTGGGGATGACGGGTAAGTTTTATGACATTACACGGGCAAAGCATTCTTATTCTATTTAAATTGTTCTGACGGTTTTGCATTTTTTATGTTTGATATAAGACAATGTGGTAAATTTGCTATGGGTTTGAAATGGCACACAACCATCAAGATCATAGCTATTTCACAGCTTGCACTTCTGCAGCTGTACTCAAACCAGACTAAGACAGCTCCATAACACTGAATTAAGTATTGGCTAATCATAAATGAAATTGATAGCTTGTCCATTCAGAAGTTGAAACATCCGTATTAGTTTTGGTCTCAAGATCTTTCTGGTGAAACTATTCAAAAAGAGCATGAGTGAGAGAGTTCTATATCAGGGTGGCATCCTCACAAGAAAAACATCTAAACTAAATAATAAAAAAAGTTAATTTTATACCTTAAACACTACCAATAAAGTAAAGGTAAAAAATAAATATATGACAGTCCCACTGTCTGTTGAATACAACGTGGGATTAGTGTTATAATGTGACAGTCCCACTATGTCCATGAAAAATGTTATAGGATCAATTTTGTGACATGACAGACCCACTTGGGTTTGGGTCTGTGAAATACATTTTAGGATCCACTTGTTCAATTAGTTTTTATCTCAGTTTCCTTGGTTGTACATCAGCATTGTCGTTAGTCTTAACAGTGCCTCAGTTTCTTAGCTTGTATATTAGCATTGTCATTAGTCTTAATAGTATCTGTTTCCTAGTTTGTACATCAGCATTGTCATCAGTTTTAACAGTGCCTCAGTTTCCTAGTTTGTATATTAGCATTGTCATTAGTCTTAATAGTATCTGTTTCCTAGTTTGTATATTAGCATTGTCATCAGTTTTAACAGTGCCTCAGTTTCCTAGCTTGTATATTAGCATTGTCATTGGTCTTAATAGTATCTGTTTCCTAGTTTGTACATCAGCATTGTCATCAGTTTTATCAGTGCCTCAGTTTCCTAGCTTGTATATTAGCATTGTCATTAGTCTTAATAGTATCTGTTTCTAGTTTGTACATCAGCGTTATCATCAGTTTTAACAGTGCCTCAGTTTCCTAGCTTGTATATTAGCATTGTCATTGGTCTTAATAGTATCTGTTTCCTAGTTTATACATCAGCGTTATCATTTGTGTTAACAGTGCCTCAGTTTCCTAGCTTGTATATTAGCATTGTCATTGGTCTTAATAGTATCTGTTTCCTAGTTTATATATTAGCATTGTCATTAGTCTTAATAGTATCTGTTTCCTAGTTTGTATATTAGCATTGTCATTAGTCTTAATAGTATCTGTTTCCTAGTTTGTATATTAGCATTGTCATTAGTCTTAATAGTATCTGTTTCCTAGTTTATACATCAGCGTTATCATTTGTGTTAACAGTGCCTCAGTTTCCTAGATTTTAATTCAGCATTTTATGTCTCTGAACTGCATAATGTTGTTGGATTTCAAAGAAATTTTGAAAGTTCATTTACTAATGAATGACCTACGCATACTTCACCACTAACTTGCATAAAATTGTCCTTAAACTTTTAGGAATAAAATATCTTTCTATAGATTAACAAGTTTCAGAAACCTGTGATATAACTTGGCCAATCCCTAAACCATTCATCGAAAAAATAATTAAATATGGTCAGCCATTTTATAGATTGCTTACAAACATTTGTGAAGTTAACTTTTGTAAAGTTGTTTTGTTTTTTCAAATAATACAGATATCACTTTTAAAATATAAACTTCCCAATAGTCCTAGAGCTATAAACTCTTTTGTTAAAATGGTCTCATTCCATACAGCCAGCAGTAACCTAGTGGAAATCTTGAACAAATTTTTCATAGCTTTTGTTTTAATAAGATGATAATACAGCATTTCCTTTCATTAAATTACAGTAGTGTTCTGATGTTTTTATTATGTTCTGATAAGGATTTAAATCCATGTGTTAATCTGTAAATTACAGTGTTTTATTATGTTTTAAATCTGTGTTTGTGACCATTAAAGTTTGATTATTTTGTACTCACTGTACATGCTTTTTCACACTAGGATATACATTTCTTTATAATTGTATTTTACTTAAGTCAGGACATTGTTTATGTTGATTTAAATAAAGTGATTTATTAGCTTTGAGATTTAAAAGTAGTTTTATAAAATTCCTCCACAGTATGATAATTATACAGAGGGCAGTAATATTAACTAGATACCCTTTACATTGGCCTATTTACAGATTTTTGAGTATTCTGTCAATAAAGGTGAGTACAATAAATGAATCATTAGATTTTACTCTATCACACTTCTTCAAATATTCTGGTCTACTAACAAGCTTGGTTTTACATTTTCTTAGTACTTAGCACTAACCTTTAGTATGGTATTAAACATTGTATTCATACACCAACAAAATAAAGTTTTAAAACCAAAAGCAGAAATCCTGCCATACATTTTAACACTATCTATTGTAGTCTACTAAAATACTTACTTTTACACTGAGTTTTTTAGAACTTGGCACCAACTGTTAGTATGGTATTGAAAAGTATACTCGTACACCAGCCAAATAATGTTTAAAACCAACAGCTGAAACCTGCCTTACATTTTGACATTATCTGTTCTGTTCTATTCACAAGTTTACTTTTACACTGAGGTTTTTAGAACTTGGCACCAACTGTTAGTATTGTAATAAACATTATATTCATACACCAGCCAAAGTTTACAACTAACGGCAGAAAATCTGCCAAACATGTTTTCTTCAGCCACTGAGGAGGACACTAGATAATGTTGAAATGTATGGCAAGTTGTTGGTTTTAAATTTTATTTGATTAGCATTCAAATAAAATATTTAATGCTGTTTACTCAGACTGTTAACTTTTACAATGATAAAATTAAATCATATATTAGTATGTAAATCATGTATTTGTTGTCAGCGAAACAAAAAATAATTCTTAATTACTTAAAGGTATTAACATAATTTTGTTTTCCATTAGTGAAATATAAGTATTTGACTTTGAGGATATTTAGTTTCTAAAAGTGATTTTAGGCAGTGTAATCAGTAATGTCGGCTGTGTCTTCATGGACTTTGTGTGCTTTTATTTGGTCAGGAGCTGATGTTTCTTGGACAAATATGACAAAGCAAAGATTGGATAAGTGCTTAAGACAGTCCAAAACATATTTTCTTAAAAGATCATTGACAATACTATCTAGCTGAACTTGTTAAACAATTTTTTTTAACAAAAAATGAGGGTGAAGATAATTTTGCAGACTAGGCCTTTCCTTTTACTGTGTGCTTTTTTGTTTTAAAAAAATACAGGGTAGTTCTACTTAATAAACAATTTTCAAGATAAATCACACTTTGTCTGACAAAAAAAAGACTGCTATATTAGAATTATTTCAATTAATTATAAATTGTAGCTGTTGTTTTTCCTAATGAAAAAGCTTTTTAAGTTTTAAAACTTTCTGGTTGTTATGAAAGTGTGTCAACAGTGTTTTCATCAGCAGCTAGCCATGTACCTTCTAAATGGTACTGAGTTGTATCAAGTCATTTTTTTTGTTTACCTGGAAGAGTTTTGTCACACTATCTTGTTCGCATTAATCCTCATTCAATGTGTTCATCAATTGAAAGTTCATATACACACAAGAGAATAAGAACAGTTTCTTTCACTAAAAGTTAATGTTTTTAACTTACATGAGCTGTACCAGATTTTGTTAATAAACTCTTGTTGCAACTCTTCTAAAGCAAGCGATATTTACTAGATAATTGATTTATACTACAAACTGTTAGATGATGTGTAATACATTGTTACTTGCATCACAGCTTAATTGACATCAGTGCTGTTCTGGCATTCACCTAAATATGCTTAACCTTTGGGCTCCTAGAAGTGGATTTTTATCTTGTCTAACTAAGTTTATTTACTGTTGCCCTACATGTGAGGCAGAAATAGATAACTGAATTTTCTTCCAGTATCAATGTGTTCTCATCCCGATGATTTAATCAATGTGTAGAAAGTGTTTTAATAGGTACCTTAATATTAACTTAAAGAACACTTCCAACATTTATAAATGATTAATATATCAATTTTGTTTTAAGTACAATAGACACTTTATTAACAAAATCAGATATGCTAATTAACCGTATAGAAATGGTTTCAGTCAACCTTGTAATCACTGTGTAACCATGACTTATGCATCACTCTGTATGTAGTGAATATATCTTCATGAAATTTGGAAAGCTTTTACTAAACATTATGGGTATTTGGCATATAAAAAAGTGAGATTTTTTTTTATTTAAGTATTTTTACTAAAGATTTGTCTCTGAATTTTCCAAGCCTTTACTGAGTTAGTCTAAGTGCAAGGTAAATTTCATGCTTAGAATAAAAAAAAAAGTTCTTTTCAACTTAAAGTTTTCATATTTCATTTGCACAATATCCTAAATGAATATCAGAAGTTTTGGGGGTTTTCTTTTCTAAGATTTTATCTCTTCTTTTCTAACACTAAATATAGCAATCATCAATGTGTAGTGAATAAAAAGTTGGAAAATATGAAATAAAATAAAAATATCATTTTTTTTGTTTCTTTAGAATAACTATAGATTCTAGCATAAGACAGTTACTGTTATTTGTTCTTACAGCTTCAGACCTCCAACCTTTTCACAACTACTGTCATTTAACTTCGTTGTTCTTTGAACTGTATCTAAATAGCATTACAAAGCAATAAATCACCCAGCAAGAGCTTAGAGTAAACAAATGATCATGTTACATCACATGATGGAAACCAGCATGTATTCCTAAAACAGAGGTCACAATTTTTTTTATTTATTCTTATCTCACCTGATAAATTTCTAATTTTATGTTTTAATTACTTTTCTTTAAAAATGTATAATAGTAAATATAAAATATACATAAAAAGAAGTTTAACAGTTGCTTTAGACTTGAGGCCTTTTGTACTTGGGTATGTGGTTTAGTAATCCTGTTTTTTTTTTCTCACTTTGTTGGTTGTTCAAACATAATCATGTAGCTTTGTTAGAAACGAAAACATATTGGGCACTACAATAGAATGTCCCAAAACTTCTATAATTTATGTAGAAACGAAAACATATTGGGCACTACAATAGAATGTCCCAAAACTTCTATAATTTATATGGATTTTT